ACCTGTTGGGCGCCTCCGAGGCCCGGAAGCAGCGTCTCCTCAAAATGCAGGACCAGTTCAAGCAAATCGAGGACCTGTTCCTCACGTTCGCGAAGAAGGCGTCGGCGTTCAACTCGTGGTTCGAGAACGCGGAGGAGGACCTGACGGACCCCGTCCGGTGCAACTCCATTGAGGAGATCCGTGCGCTGAGGGACGCCCACCACCAGTTCCAACAGAGCCTGTCGGGCGCTCAGCGCGACTTCGAGGTGTTGGCCCAACTCGACCGCCAGATCAAGAGCTTCAATGTCGGCCCCAATCCGTACACGTGGTTCACGATGGAGGCGCTGGAGGACACGTGGCGTAACCTCCAGAAGATCATTCAGGAGAGGGATGTGGAGCTCGCGAAGGAGTACCAGCGCCAGGAGGAGAACGATAGGCTGCGCCGCGAGTTTGCGAAGTACTCGAACGCCTTCCACCACTGGATTACGGAGACCCGGTATGTGTGGCCATTGGCTGCTGAGGGGAAGGGCACGTATGTGATCCCATGCCCACCTCACACGTGTTCGCCCCAAACACTGACCTCCCAGTGCCCCTATATTATGCCAATAGTGCTGTTAACAGTGCTCCAAGTTTGTTAGGGTTTACTCTCGTAGTAATGCTTTGCATTTCAATAATTGACAGCCATTTCACGATATGTTGGACACTGTGTGCGGAGTTTTCTGACCACATGTCTAACATATCGAGATTTAACTGTATTTTATGATTAATTTATAATTAGTTTATTAATTACGTAACCATTAGTTGTTTTTTACCGTAATTTTGCCGTAAGTTTACTAATGTTTTTTGAATTTCCATAATTGCGTGCGAATTGCCATTCACTCGACCCCTGACTACTACTACTCATCCCATTCCGCCACCGCCGCCGTGCACTCGACCGATGCAAACATATATCTAAATACCATTGTGTGCTGTGATGTGTGTGTGTCTGTGTGTTGACCACAAAATAACATCCCGGCGCTCATCGCACCCACAGAATGTGGCTCTTAGACGGGTTAATATCCATAATATTTTTGACACTTTTTTTCGTTTTGATTGACATTTGAATTGATTTTGAATTTTACTGTTTTTTGTTGAATGCCTGACATTAATCGCAACTAATTTACATCCCATTCCCACCCATAACCGCCAGCTCCTCGATGATGGAGGGCTCGGGCACTCTGGAGGCGCAACTGGACGCCACGCGTCGTAAGGCGGCCGACGTGAGGGCCAAGCGGTCGGACCTGAAGAAGATCGAGGACTTGGGCGCCATTCTCGAGGAGCACCTGATTCTCGACAACCGCTACACCGAACACTCGACGGTAGGCCTGGCCCAGCAGTGGGACCAATTGGATCAGCTCGGGATGCGAATGCAGCACAACCTCGAGCAGCAGATCCAGGCGCGCAACCAGTCGGGTGTGTCTGAGGACGCGCTGAAGGAGTTCTCGATGATGTTCAAGCACTTCGACAAAGACAAGTCCGGTCGACTCAACCACCAGGAGTTCAAGTCGTGTCTCCGGGCGCTCGGCTACGACCTGCCGATGGTCGAGGAGGGACAGCCCGACCCGGAGTTTGAGCAGATCCTCAATGCGGTCGACCCTAACCGCGACGGCTACGTCTCGCTGCAGGAGTACATGGCGTTTATGATCAGCCGGGAGACGGAGAACGTGACCACCAGTGAGGAGATCGAGAATGCCTTCAGAGCCATCGCCGCCAATGAGAGGGCGTATGTGACCGCCGATGACCTCTACCAGGTATGTGTCGACCCCCACATATATGTACTATTGATTGCAATGGTTGACTAAATGGTTGTCCACTCCCTGTGTGCCCAGAATCTGACGAAAGAGATGGCGGAGTACTGTATGAGACGAATGAAGAAATACGTGGACCCGAAGACGGGTCGGGAAGTGGCCAATGGTTACGATTACATCGACTTCACGCGCACTCTATTCCAGAACTGATCCCAACTCTGGGCTCAACAACACATAAACCAATCGTTTTGTGTTTTATTAATATTTCTTTTAATTAATGTTTTTATTCGTAGTTTTATTACTATTATTATGATTACGATTCAAATCAAACGCTATTTTGCAACACATATATATATATATATATATATATATCCGCTATATTTACCGCACCGGTAGGGAACGGCTGCTAATAGTTTATATACAGTATAAGAATTCACGTAATATTTACAAAACTATTATATCTATGAAGAGCTTTATTATCGCATTATTTAAGAGCTATTTATTTAAATTTAGAAACAAATCACGAATCAAACCATTAGTCTATTTATAAGAGTTTTTGAAATTTATTTTTAGTTTCGTTTACTTTTTGGACTTTTTTCCAATAAATCACTTGTTTTTGACTTAATTTTTGACTTTTATTCGTAACGAAAGTAATGTTTGATTTGTTTTATCGACACTTCACTGACAGCTTGTGTTCGCATTTTTGGCTACTTTTCACACAAATCTCTCTGAAATACTGCCTATTATTATGTGATTATTATATGAAATATTAAGATATAATAAAAATGCATTCAATTTGACAAATCATAGTGTGTATTGTAATTTAAATTATAAACAAGCAATATAAAGGTACATTAATAAGTATATTTTAATTTACTTCATAATAATAAAAGTATTAATAGTTAATAACAATTAGCATACTTTTGAATCAATAATTGAAAAATATTATTAAATAAAGTTAAGTTTAATGTTAAATCAGATTGAAGTGTTTAGAATTTTGAGCTATTTTAAAAAATTTTTAAGAAATTTTGAAAATTTTTAAACAATTGTTGTGGAACTGGATATCCATCCCATAGACTTAGCATGGGGTTTCGTGGTATATTCAGCACTTTTAAGCTATTTTAGAATTTTCAAGAAATTTTGAAAATTTTCAAACCATTGTTGTGGAACTTATCATGGAACTTTTGTGCACTTTGGTCGTACATTTTCGACTACATGTCCCTCAATGTCCATTTATCGCTTAACGCTATGGGATTTTTTGTTCCGCAACTGACATTTTTTGACACACCCGTCATGCACCATCATTATACACCATTTTCCCATAGGTTTAACATGGACTTGAAAACACAGCGTCATTACGTCATCGGAAACACGTTTGCCGCATTTTGCTGGGATTTTCCATACGAAAAACAAAGTTCTTAACGGCTAAACTGTCAATAAAACCCATGTTAAGTCTATGGGATTGTGTTAAAGTGCGTCATTAGCGTCATTAATGACGGAGTGAGGGAGGTGGGAGGTGGGGGGTAGTACAGAGTGATTTGATAACCCACTTTTTTACTGCGTAAATGTGGGTAAAAAGTATGATGGACTCACATTGAATGCGGCTATTATGCAATTTTAAAATTGCATCAAATGTTAAGTCTATGGGAAAACACTGCTGTCATCACCGCAACTGTTCCCAAGAGTTGGCGATAATGAGTGCATTAGAGGGACATAAGACTGTGTATTATTAACAATTACCTGTAAATTAAGCATTTATTTTTAAATTCATTAAATTATCGACTATTAATAGTACAGATATTAATAGTTTGTATTCATTTACATACAATACATAAATGACTTGAATTTAGCGCCAATTCTGTGGAAACACTAATCGTTTGATTTAATGCTTGTAATTAAGTTACGAATAAACAAAACTATTAGATAATTGCTTAATTAAAGTACCAAGATGGCTACATGGCTGCCACTATGTCTACCAATTCATTGAATACGTGTTATATTAAATAAGATGTTAAATACTGTAGTTTTCATAACTTTCTAAAACTACCTAGCTACCAAATAACGCCAATTCCGTACAGTATGTCTACCGGTGAACACCTCTACGCCACACACACACACACCTCAACCCATAGGCCGTGTGTTTGGCACTCAATGTAAACATAAACACAAAACTTGAATCCAAAGTGTGTTTCGCTTTTCAATGAATGACTAGTTTTGCGGAAAAGGCTGTCATTTGTGCGGAAAAGCCATTCATAAGACATAAGACACGAGTGTTTTTGACCGCAATTTATTCGTAACGAAAGTAATGTTTGATTTGTTTTATCGACACTTCACTGACAGCTTGTGTTCGCATTTTTGGCTACTTTTCACACAAATCTCTCTGAAATACTGCCTATTATTATGTGATTATTATTATACGAAATATTAAGATATAATAAAAATGCATTCAATTTGACAAATCGTAGTGTGTATTGTAATTTAAATTATAATCAAGCAATATAAAGGTACATTAATAAGTATATTTTAATTTACTTCATAATAATAAAAGTATTAATAGTTAATAACAATTAGCATACTTTTGGATCAATAATTGAAAAATATTATTAAATAAAGTTAAGTTTAATGTTAAATCAGGTTGAAGTGTTTAGAATTTTGAGCTATTTTAAAATTTTTTCAAAAAATTTTGAAAATTTTTAAACAATTGTGGAACTGGATATCCATCCCATAGACTTAGCATGGGGTCTAGTGAGATATTCAGCACATTTAACCCATTTTAGCATTTTCAAGAAATTTTGAAAATTTTCAAACCATTGTTGTGGAACTTATCATGGAACTTTTGTGCACTTTGGTCGTACATTTTCGACCACATGTCCCTCAATGTCCATTTATCGCTTAACGCTATGAGATTTTTTTGTTCCGCAACTGACATTTTTTGACACACCCGTCATGCACCATCATTATACACCATTTTCCCATAGGTTTAACATGGACTTGAAAACAAAGCGTCATTACGTCATCGGAAACACGTTTGCCGCATTTTTCTGGGATTTTCCATACGAAAAACAAAGTCCTTAACGGCTAAACTGTCAATAAAACCCATGTTAAGTCTATGGGATTGTGTTAAAGTGCGTCATTAGCGTCATTAATGACGGAGTGAGGGAGGTGGGAGGTAGGGGTAGTACAGAGTGATTTGATAACCCACTTTTTTACTGCGTAAATGTGGGTAAAAAGTATGATGGACTCACATTGAACGCGGCTATTATGCAATTTTAAAATTGCATCAAATGTTAAGTCTATGGGAAAACACTGCTGTCATCACCGCAACTGTTCCCAAGAGTTGGCGATAATGAGTGCATTAGAGGGACACAAGACTGTGTATTATTAACAATTACCTGTAAATTAAGCATTTATTTTTAAATTCATTAAATTATCGACTATTAATAGTACAGATATTAATAGTTTGTATTCATTTACATACAACACATAAATGGCTTGAATTTAGCGCCAATTCTGTGGAAACACTAATCGTTTGATTTAATCCTTGTAATTAAGTTACGAATAAACAAAACTATTAGATAATTGCTTAATTAAAGTACCAAGATGGCTACATGGCTGCCACAATGTCTACCAATTCATTAAATACCTGTTATATTAAATAAGACGTTAAATACTGTAGTTTTCATAACTTTCTAAAACGACCTAGCTACCAAATAACGCCAATTCCGTACAGTATGTCTACCGGTGAACACCTCTACGCCACACACACCTCAACCCATAGGCCGTGTGTTTGGCACTCAATGTAAACATAAACACAAAACTTGAATCCAAAGTGTGTTTCGCTTTTCAATGAATGACTAGTTTTGCGGAAAAGTCTGTCATTTGTGCGGAAAAGCCATTCATAAGACATAAGACACGAGTGTTTTTGACCGCATTTTGGGGTCAAATGTTTGCCACAAAAGTAGCGCTCATTTCCCAT